AGCCTGAGGGAAGGGGGAGCAGGATTTGGCAACACATTCCCTGTGTACTGAGTCGTTGCGTGCGCTGTAGCAAGGTGGACCTCCCCTGGTCGTTGGGGGGCGGGGTGATGGGCGAGCGACTCCAGCCGGAGCCTCACCAAGTTTATCCCCCTGCCAAGGCGGGGGCGGGGTTTCACCAGGGGCCAATGTCTCTCCCCCTTACTAGTACTCCGGTTATCGATATCCGTTGGGCGTCCCTTTGCAACTGTTGCGTGGCAGATGAGGTGGTCCGGTCGGAACACCATCGGGCCGGGATTGTCGCTGTAAGGGGGGACCTCGGCAAGGGCCAGTTGAGATTAGCGTGAACAAAGGGAGCGTGGGGCGCCCTCTGGTGGTGGGGGTGCACGGGGAGAAGTGGGCCTTTCGGAACATCACCAACGCTCACCCAGCGCCGGTGAGGCGGGCGCTCAGTGGCATTCGGTCGAGGTATACTCCACCCGTGGAAGTGCCAAAGCGCCCTCTAGCGACGGCGGAAAGACAGGTGAGGTGGTCGGTACGGAACACCGTCGTGGTGGAGCTGCTGGCGCAAGTGAGTGGCACTGCACAAGAGACCGTGAGGTCGACCTCAAACCGGGGAACCGCACACGAGTCTATGACGGTGATCCTGAACAAGGACACCGAACACGAGTCTGTGGGGCCGACCCCGCACAAGTGCACTGCACAAACGCCTATGACAGTGATCCCAAATAAGGGCACCGCACACAAGTCTGTGCGGCCGACCCTGAACCAAGGCACCGCACACAAATCTGTGCGGCCGACCCCGAACCAGGGTACCGCACACGAGTCTTTGGGGCCGACCCCTAACCGGGATGCCGCACACGACTCTGTGAGGTTGAACCCGAGCAGCAGCACCACACACAGGTGTATGGGGGTGAACCCGAATGGGGGCAACGCACTCGAGTCTATGACGGTGATCCCGAACAAGGGCACCGCACACAAGTCTATGACGGCAATGCCGATCAAGGGCACCGCGCACGAGTCTATGGGGTGAACCCGAATGGGGGCACCGCACACGAGTCTATGGGGGTGAACCCAAGCGGGGGCACCGCACATGAGTCTATGAGGCCGATCCCGAGAGGGGGCACCGTACACAAACCTGTGAGGCCGACTTCAAGCCAAGCATCACGGGTGCGACCCGTGCCGGCTTCCCCGAAGTTGGGCCCGCGCTAAAGACCCGCCCTTTCGAGCGCGGGCCCCGGCTGTTGCCCCCTTCCCGGGTAGCCCCAGTTGGGAGGGCAAGTACTCCGAAGCCAGCTCTGAGACATGGACAACCAATAGTAGTTGAGCGAGGAGCTGAGGACCAGGGCGAGGTAGGCCTTAGGGGCCGGAGGCTAATGATGCTCCCCGACAAGTTCGATGGTAGCTCGTCCTGGTCGGACTATGTCATACATTTTGGGAGTGTCGTGATGGTTAACCAGTGGACGGAAGACAAGAAGGCGATGTATCTGGCTTCACTCCTAAGGGGGGCGGCTCAGGAGGCATGGGCCGACATGGCCCCTGAAGCCCGGGGGAGTATGCCACCATCCTGGAAAACTTCGAGCAACGGTTTGGAGTGACGTCGCAGTCCCCCTGCACTGGGCACATTTGCACATGCGAGTGCTGGGACGTGGTGAGTCCTTGGCCGACCGTGGGCAGTCTATCCGAAGGCTGGTGGCAAGGAGCTACCCTATACTACCCGAGCAATCCCTGGAGGACTTAGCCGTAGAGGAGTTCCGGAACGCTCTAGGGGATGAACAGCTGCAGCGCCACGTCTTTGCGTGGAGGGCGACCACATTGATGGAAGCTGTCACGTTGGCCACTGAGATGGAGGTGTTCATGGAATCACAGGCCTGCCAGCTGAAGGGAAGCCCGAGGCCAGGGAAGTTTGCGCTGTGGATGACCTGGAAAAGAAACACGTGGAGGAGAAGGCACCAAGCGGTGGAGTGCTACGGATGCCACGAGCTCGGATACATCAGGCGATACTGCCCTCGGGACAGACGAGCAGCAGCTAACAACCCTCAGCAACCACCAGCAAGGCCTGCAGGGGAGTTGTCTCCGACGCACAAGACTAAGTCGCCCGCCCCGCCAGAGCCGGACCAGGCGAGGCCTAATCCACGAGTGAACTACGTCCTGGGCAGGCTGGCTGGGCGGCAGATGTCGGTACTCCTGGATACGGGAGCGGCCCTGAGTCTACTCCCTGCCCGAGTATTTGACAAAATGGCGGCAGTGGATCGGCCCAGTCTTCGCCCAGCTGGCCCGACACTAAAGATGGCAGACTGCAGCCCAATGTTGGCACAGGGAGTGGCGGAGTTTGAACTCCAGGTGGGAGACCAACGGCTGAGACACGCCTACACCTTGGCCGACATAGAGCCAGATGCAATCCTGGAAATTGACTTCCTTTCCAAATATCGGTGCGAATGGTGGTGGGGTGATAGTGTCATTGTCATTGATGGGAAGACCGTCCCACTGCAAGGGAGCGGCCGCCAGCAACAGGTTGCAAGAGTGCATGTGGCGGAAAGCTTGGTGGTGCCGGCCGGGCACGAGGCGTTGGTTGTTGGGAAGCTACAAGTGGACCCTGGGAAGAGAATCGGGAAGATCTACCCGGACCTGGCAATGACAGACAGGTGCCAGGTGGCGGTCGCCACCCGCCTGGTGGACGCTGGTGACGGGGCTGTTCCAGTGCGAGTTTTCAATCCGACGGAGGACCCGGTTACAGTGCATCAGGGGTGCCAGTTGACCTTGTTCTGTTCCGTGGACGATGTGGAGATGGTTAGGCTAACGGATGACCTGGGTGCTCCCACTCCAGTTCCTCGATCTCCAGTCGACACCTCACGGAGCGCCGAGGCTGGAGAGTATGGGCCTTGCCTTTCGGCCGGCCCCACCCGAGGCGCCAAGAGCGAAGTGCCTGACCACCTGCGGGACTTGTGGGCCCACGGTCCGCACACCTTAGTGACGGAGAGAGCTGCCAGCTGGCGGGTTTCCTGGCGGAGTTTTGAGGTGTGTCAACTTGTCCGGACGGAAAGCTTGGGAGGACGGACCTGGTACAGCATCGGATTAACACGGGGACAACGCCTCCCATCCGGCAGCCAGTGCGGCGGTTACCCATACAAGAGGCTGAGAGACAGGTGGGCCAAATACTGCAAGATGGCGTCATCGAACTGTCCCACAGCCCCTGGTCCTCGCCGGTAGTCCTCGTGAGGCAGAATGACGGGTCCGTTTGCTTCTGCATGGACTACCAGAAGTTAAATGCAGCCACACTGGTGCCCCATCCCAAGAATCGAGGACAACTTCGACGCTCTGAGGGGAGTCCGCTGGTTTAGCACGCTTGACCTGGCCCACGGGTACTGGCATGTCCGTATGGCGGAGGGGAACCGGGAGAAGACATCATTTGGGACCCAGAGCGGCCAGTACCAGTTTACAGTGATGCCATTTTGGCTCTGCAACGCCCAAGCGACTTTGAACGCCTGATGGAACGGGTGTTGAGGGGGCTGCAGTGGCAGATGGCAGTAGTGCACTTGGATGACGTCATTGTATGGGGGCGTACCTTCGAGGAGCACTACCAGAGATTGACTACAGTGTTGGAGTGGTTCCAGAGCACGGGGCTGAGGCTCAAGCCCAAGACGTGTAACCTCTTCCGGACGGAGGTGTCCTTTTTGGGTCACCTAGTGTCTGCCAGGGGGGTCAGAACGGACCCCGACAAAGTCGCCATCACTGGGAGTTGGCCGACACCCATGAACGTGATGCAGGTCCGGAGCTTCCTAGGCTTCACGTCCTTGTATCGCAGCTTCATAGCCCACTTTGCGGAGATCGCCCGCCCATTGCATGGTCTCAGCAACAAGAGTCAGAAGGATTCACCCAGACAGATTCCTGGAAGGAGGCCTTCAAACAGCTTCAGGACGCTTTGGCGACAGCCCCGGTGCTGAGGTACCCGCATCCCAAGTACTGGTACATCCCGGATACCGATGCCAGAAACTGCACCATGGGGGCATTCCTGTCCCAGGATGGCGGCTTGGGCGAGCAGGTGGTTGCTTACGGCAGCTGCGTACTGACAAAGTCCAAACGCAATTATTGCACTACCCGGAAAGAGCTGCTCGACCGTGGTCCACGTGGTGCAGTACTTTAAACATTACCTGCTGCGGTTTCTGCGTAGGACCACGGGTCGCTGAGATGGTTGTTCAATTTTAGGGAGCCAGAAGAGCAGACGGCCCATTTGTTGCCGAGACTAGGGTGTTTCGATTTTCATATCGAGCACCGAGCGGGGCGCAAGCACCTCAATGCTGATGCGGTCTCCCGAGTCCCCTACGGACAATGTGGACATTCGAAAGAGGCCAGGCAAGAGTGCTTCACGTCAGGGACACCGCCCCCGCTGCTGAGCTGGTGCCTGCAGTGGGCGCCTTTCGGAGTGTGGACCAAAAGGACGCATCAGACTTGGATAAGCTCCTGCGGGTCTGGAGCCCAGACCACCTTCAGGGAGAACAACGTCAAGACCCGGAGCTGGCCCAGGTTTGGAAGTGGCTGGAACAAGGGTCCCTCAGGCCCAAGTGGGAGGAAGTCTCGGCGCTGAGGCAAAGTCATGGTGGGCCAGGTGGGAGACGCTGCAGCTACAACAATGCGTCCTCCAGGTGAAGTGGGAGCGACCACCTGGCAGCCCCCCAACCTGGAAGATTGCCATTCGGCGGACCAGGATACAGGAGGTCCTGCGGCTGGCCCACGACCACCGTACTGCCGGGCACCTGGGGATTGCCCGGACCATTGCCAGGCTGCAACAGGCTCCCGTCTATTAGAGGGGAATGCAGCAGGCAGCCGAGGAGTGGTGACAGAAGTGCCACCTATGTGGGTCCTAGAAGACCCCGCCGCGTCCATCCAGGGAGGGCCCACCTGCAGCAGTGTCTCCGGCGCATTGCCATAGATCTCACTGGAAGGCTGCCACGGACGAGGTCAGGGAACTCGGCAATCGTGGTGGTCGCCGACTATTTTACCAAATGGGTCAAGGCTTTCCAATCCCGGACCTGACAGCAGAGACGGTGACCCAGACACTGGTGGAGCAGGTCATCACCCATTTCGGCACACCGTTGGAGATCCACACTGACCAGGGACGGGAGTTCGAGGCTGGCTTTTTCCAGGGGGTCCGCCAGCTCCTTGGCATCCAGAAGACGCGGACAATGCCATTCCATCCCCAGTCAGATGGAATGGTGGAATGCTTCAACCGGACAGTTAAGACCATACTGAGCATGTTCGTGGATGAGAACCAGAAAAACTGGGATAAACACCTTCCTTATGTCACGATGGCGTACCGTTCCTCCCAGCACGACAGCACCCTGAACATGCTCATGCTTGGCCGTGAAGTGGGGCTTCCATTGGACGTGGTGGTGGGCTCACCGGAAGGACAGCCGGAGGCCCTGGAGGTCCATGAGTATGTGGACGGACTAAGGATGAGGATCGAGCGTTCCCATGAGTTCGCCCGGCGCCATCTCCAGCGCATTCAACGGTATCAGAAGTGGCAATATGATCGGAGGGCTCAGGGAGCTGGCTTCGAGCCCGAGCAGGCCGCCTGGCTCTACAATCCAGCCAAGAAGGTGGGCCGAGCGCCGAAGCTGCAGCGCTACTGGAAAGGGCCATTCGCGGTACTGGACTGCATTGACGTCACCTACATGATCCAGAAGTCAACCCGAGCCAAACCCCCTATCGTGCATTACTGGTTGAAGACCTACCTCGGCGTAGTCGACCTGGGATGGTGGAGACGTGCAAGCGCGTGGTATCCAGCAATCGAGGAGAACGGGGAGCTGCGGCCAACCGGGCCCACCCCGTGCTCTACCTCACAATCGACAGAGCCCACGCCCAAAGCATCCAAGAAGGTCGGGAAGCCGTGGCCACTCGGGTCCGCCCCCGGCCTGCCTCACAGTTGGCGGAGGAGGCACCAAAAGCACCTGGGGAGATCAGGGAGCCGCGGCCCTTTGGTCCTGGTCCCCCTCGCAGACTGAGGAGGCGATGCAGGACCCCGCCGGGGAGCCACCGATTCCAGCGAGTCGGACGGTGAGGGGGACAGAACCCCCCTCGACTGCGGAGAAGTTGACAGTACGGGCGCGGTGGGCAAGCAGAACCAATCCACGATACCAGATCCCACTCCCCTGACTCGAAGGGGTGGTCCGACCAAGCCGGAACTTGTTATCCCTAACCACTGATACCCCATTTTCTCTTCCAAAAAGGAATGACTCTGTGACATGTCCCTACCGTCAGCGGGGGTTCACCCAGCAGAGAAGCTTGAGGCGCCACTTGAGTACGGCTTGCTGCTTCTGCAGCCCACCCTTCCCTTCCAGTGCGAGAAGGGTTGCGTGGTCAGCTTCTACAGGGAGGACATCCGTAGCCGGTACTACCACTTCTGCAAGGGGGTCGCAGTCAATACCATCCAGGTGGAGGATGCGGACGTGCTGGACGTCCATGCTAGCGACACTGAGCTGGACGGGGACCCCAAGCTTCCGGGACGCTCCCCCTCGCCACCACACCTTGTCCCTGAGGGAGACCTTCAGACACCTCACCCCCAACCGGAGCCGCTCCAGAGGAGCCCCTCGCCAAGGAGAGGCAGGGGCGACGGTGCCACCGAGAGCGGTTGGGGGGCCGTGACCACGTGGCTCCGCCTCCCAGCCAGGCCTGCCATGAACCGTTGGCCGGGTGCTCTTCCCGGCGGTGCCCGAAGGAAGCCGGAGTGCAGACCGACCCCCGGTGTCCTCCGACGTTCCCATTCCACGGCGTAGTGGGAACTGTTGGCGTCTGCCTCCGGGTACCACAGTGACGCTGCCGGACGGGGCAATGGATGTGCTTGGGCGACACGGCGACCCTACACCCATGCGACACTACCGGGGAGGTTGGGATGGGCATGCCCGCCCCACTTTGCGAGCACCTGCATAGCAAGTGGAGACTGGAGCAGACGCCGATAAGGGTTGACGACCTTGGACACTGCCTGACAAGAACCAAGATCACCAACACGTATGAAGTGCCGGGACGCGTGCTCACCACCTACGATGGGAAGCAGTAAAGCCAATTCTTTGTCGATCCTTCCGAGGCCGACCAGCCGTCTTTGGGAGGGTTCCTGCCACCCAGGGCCCCCCCACCGCCACGCTATCCCCAGTACGTCCCGGCTGGGTTCTGGGAGGCCCTTTTCCGGTAGACAGAGTTCCAGCGCTAGCAACCGCCCTGTGCCCAGCCCCACCAGGAAGGTTCCGGAGCCGCCTGACCACAGGGACCGCCTTGCCAGTAGGGGAACATCGAGACTTCAGCTTCCCACCATCGCTTTCACCCTTTGTTTTCCCAGTACTGGTTTCCCCTTGTTGTTCTAAACTCATTGTTCTAAACCATTGCTTGTTTGACTGTGTTGCCGAAATAAACAGGTTTTGCCCTCGTAAACAGACGTTCTTAGCCCAGTGTGCTTTCTTGCCTCTGTGTGGAACCCGTAGACCGTCGGGGTGCTACAATAGATTGGGGCATTCCCTGGAAAAGAAAGAACAAAGGATTAATTACATGTAACACTGCTTCTTGGAATAAATTCCTCCCCCATATGGAGTGGTTCGGGTCTCCTAGTGATACTTACCCATTGTGCCTATTACCAGTTCGCTGAAAAGACTTGATGCATACTGTCCCTTGACCCTCCACAATGTACAGCGGCGCTGTTGCCAGTGCGTCCTTCTTTTTGAAGCGATGAAAACCACCGAAGCTGAAGTGGAGCAGGACGGGTGGGAGCGGCTGGGCAGGGGTAAGTATTACTAGGAGACCCAACTTACTCCACATGGGGGAGGAGTCTCCTGCATTCACATACCCCTGTCCATATGAAGAGTGGCACCAAACCCCAGAGGTGGGTCTGCGACGGGAGCGTAGTTACTAAAAAGAAAATGAGGCGGGTGTCGCAAGAGCAAGCGCTCATCAGGAGAACCTCCTAAAGTCGCCCAGCCCGGAAGAGTGCTGGACATTGTCCGGAACGCCTAGCACAGGGTCGCCCTGCCATGGGCTGTTTCGCTTTGCAGAACATCTTTCAGGTAGCACTCAGTAAGGGTGGATCGAGGGAGATTTCCAGCAAGCCGCCTGGCAACCAGGACGCAGAGATGGGCCGAAAGTCGCGGGTCCTTACTTGAGATCAAGTCGTCTATCATAGTGTTCCGGCCAGTTTCGGTTAGCAGAGATAATGGCAGAGACCGTCCATCGGGCAATAGTGTCTTTGATGCCTGATGAAATGGGTTTCATAGTGGTGACAAAGAGCTGGGAATTAGATTCTCGGCGATGCTTGGTCCTGGCAGAATACCACTTAAAACTCTGAACAGGACACCCTCTCGTGTTAGAGTTATCTCCAAAAGAGAGGCTATGACAGGAACGAATATGTTGGGGGGGGCAGAAGGTAGGCGTCTGGTTTTCCATCATGAACCGGATAATTGGGGTGAGACGAACCTCGTGTGGCTCCCAGCGGATGCGACCGTCGGCAATCCACAGGGTATGTAGCTCGCTACATCGTTTCGATGTAACGACAGCAAGAAGTTATGCCAGTTTGATGCTGAGATGGAGGTCAGACGCATTAGACAGTGGTTTGAAGGGGGACCAGCAAGAACGGTCCTAGGATAAAACAAGGCGTTTGAGGTGGGGACGCTTGACAATCATTCCTCAAAGGGGATGGTGGATGGCAGCGTTGTCAAAGACAGCTGGTCCAATGCTGAAGTCAGAGTGAATATCTGCGAAGGTCGACCAGTACTTGCGGATGGTGGCAATTTGAAGACCCGAGTGGAACAGATATATGAGGAAGTCTGCGATGGAACTCACGGGAGCTTAAGTTGGAGAAACATCGTGGTCATCGCCTTACGAGTACAGTGAAATTTTGGTGTGACAATCAGGCTGTCAACAGACAAACGTCTAAATGTCACTTAATGATGAGTTTGGTGTGCCGTCTCGTGGTGACATGTCTCACATATAATATCCAGTTTCGATCTCAGCATGTTCCAGGCCTGGATAATGGCACTGCTGATGCTCTTTAACGTTTTCAGATTACCAGATTTCGTCATCTCGCACGAGATTGCAGACCGCGATATGACCCCCCTGCCCGACAACCTGTGGAGTGTCTTCAGTTAGAGGTCCAGAGTCTTTTGCATGACGCGGTGACCCCCGCACGAACTTGTCCTATCAGAGGGCGTGGCATCTTTTTCAATGGTTTAGTCAAACCCATGGTTTCGACGCCGCGCACTCCCCCTCCCTGCTTCAGATAGTTCGATTTATTGCATTTTGTCGGTATCTGGGTATGCACCCACAACGATTACCTCTTACGTCTCGGGGGTTTCCTCTAATTTGCAGTTAATGAGTTATCCTGATTTAACTAAGCATTTTCTGGTCAAACGTTTACTGGAGAAATGTCGTAGGTGTAGTAGTCGTCGCGACCGACGGCGCCCTATCACTTATGACATTTTATGTCGTATGGTCCGAGCCTTGCAGGCCGTTTGCTCGAGTAACTTCGAGGATCGGCTTTTCCGAGTGGCTGTCTTACTTGCGTTTTTTGGGTTCCTTCGCATTGGGGAATTTACTGCCCAGTCCCACCAATTTTCTAGCCCGTTGTGTCGGTCTGATGTTACCGTCAAAAGATCCCCTTTTAAGGGTCGAACTTATCCTACGTCACTCGAAAACAGATCAATATGGCCATGGTTATGTAGTTTCCATCCCAGCAGCCCATAGCCGGCACAAATGATGTGCCCCTGTCCGGGCGACTTTGTCCTATATTTTCTGTTCCACATCCCCCATGGCCCGTTTTTGTCACATTTCGATGGGCGTCCTGTCACGCATTACCAGTTTGTGGCGGCACTCCGTCGTGCCCTTGAGCTTACAGGGCTTTACGACGCCAGATTTACCTCTGATTCTTTTCGCATTGACACAGCTATGTCTGCGGCTATGGCAGGTGTGTCTGAGGATGATGTTAAAATTTTGGGGCGTTGGAAGTCTGGGGCTTACTGACGTTACATCCGGATTCCTCCAACTATTTTCCATTGAACGCTACATCTTGTAATAGCTTAAGTACTTTGCTCGTGTTTTGCTCCGATTTTCTTTTCAAATTTTCTTGAGAGAATTGGCCCCTGCCAAACCAACTGTGTTGGTCATTGGGGACGGCTCTGTGTGCTGGTGTGCTCGGGTGGCGGAGTCACCGCCCTGGGCAGAGCGTCTTAATCGGCTGGCCTATATCCACTGGATGGGACGGCGAAGACTCCAGATGTTCCAGTTCTCCGATTTCCTGTTGGAAGCGTGGTCGGCAGTTCCGATCTTACGTGACGTCATCATCCTACAGTTTGGCGCCAACGACATGGGGCTTGTACACAAACATTTACAGAGTATTTTAGCTCGGCGGTGCATCAATTTGACCAGAGAAGCACTGCTGCATGCTGTCATTTTTTATTCCGAGTTACTACCCCGCCAAACTTACCCTCACGCCTTAAAGCAGAGTTCCCTCGAGCGTACACGACGTTCGCTGAACGCGTACGTTCATTCATTATTTCGAAACGCTCATGGGGGTGTTGTTTGGCACCCCCAGATCCAGTGGTTGTCCGCGGCGTAATATCATGCGGACGAATTCCATTTGACTGATGATAGTTGTTCGTTAATTCTCGACAACTTCTACCAAGCCCTGGCGCCATATTGTTTGCCTGTGGCATCTCCCCTTAATACCACCACCTGAGGTCTATTTGGCGGCGGTCATGTTGCCGACTTCATTCACCAACAAGCCCGTTTGGCGTGAATTTCATTCAGGGACCGCAAACTGACCTTGGTTTTAAGGCACTGTATTCTTATTTACGACACTTATGGGAATGTGCAAAAAGGACAGGCCTGACCCCTTCCTTTGTCGGGGGAGTCACTAGATTATTAAGGGCCAAATTAAGAAAAGCCATTTTGTACTCACTAATTTCTGTCGTTTAACACCAATAGCTGTATTGTTGAAAATGCTCATTAGTTGCCCATTATTCCAGCAACCCAGTGTAAGTCCAAGCCAATTGCTGTCCGATCCCAGCGTTTGATGGCTGGCCCAAAGTTATTGTATGCTGTTGTAAATCCTTGCTAATTTGTTCATGAAAGTTGGTTAATTTTGTATTCTGCCAGATGTAATTGCTGTTTGAATTTGCACATCGAAGGCTTTGTACCGCGCAGGTACATTCAAAAATTAATTTACCGCTCAATGTGATTTGGGCGGAAACAAATGCTGATGTGATAATTGCTTTTCATACATTTTTGCTGATAGCTCTATGTATTTGCTGATATGAGTTGCTGTTCCGCGTCACCAGGCTCGGGCGGGAAGAATCGCTGACAATTGCTGTTTGCCATAGTACCGGTACTTTTGCTGATATGTGTTGCTGTTCCGCGTCACCAGGCTCGGGCGGGAACAATCTCTGTAATTTTTGCTGAATAGATACACTTTGCCTGAAACGCAATGTAAGATATACTAGCAGTTCCGCCTCACCAGCTTTGGGCGGGAACTATTTTCATATATTGCTGGGTAGCTATACTTTGATTGTGCGCAATGTAATTTTTTGCAGTTCCGCGTCACCAGCTTCGGGCAGGAACAACCTGAACTGTGTCAAGTTCAATAAACGGCTGCTCAGGCCAGTCGAAACAAATGTTAGAAACGAAACAAACAGTTAGAATGCGAGTGTCCACCTGTCCCTGAGTTCAGTTCTCTGGTCCTGTGCATGCGGAGATAATTGAGTTTTTGCAATCATCACATTCTTTGCAATATTTACATTTGCTACAATCTTTGCATTTTTCGCAATATTTACAACAATCTTCGCAATTTCTACATCTTCTGCAACAGTAACATTTACTGATATTATAAGAATCAAAACGATAGATGCAATCGCTAGAATCTGTCACGTTTGTGGAATGAGTCACACGTTTTCACAAAAGTTACATTTGTATGGGCTAGTTTCTATATTCATGCGACTATATATACATAATTATATTTCTTTCATTTTTTACTTTATATAGTAAATTTGTTCAAGTAGTGTGAAAAACAGCATCAGTTATTATAATGAATAACTGAGGTTTAAAATTTTTATTTTCTTAATCATCTTCAACGCCAACGTCATATTCAATTATTACCTCAATTTTATATTTAACCAGAATCAAGCTTAGACGCAAAATTAGGCGGTGGCTCGTCGTCTATTTTGAGCCTCATCTTTTTGTGCTTGCCGTCCACTAATACCACGTGATCCATACCGTTCAACTCTTGAGCAATTTACACAGTAGGTGCAATTATTACAACCATTACATTCTATACAATTGCCGCAATCATAGCAACTGTAGCAACTGTCCAAATTACTTGAATGTTGGGAGTCATATGAACTTAAACAAGTTGCGCAATTTATGCATTCTCCACACTCGTCGCAAGTATAGCACTGAGTGCATTTTCTGCAGTCGTTAGATTTGTAACAGTCGTGACATTCTCTACAATCGATGCATTCAAATAAAACTTGAATTTAAACAACGAAAGCAACCATACGAATCTACCGAGTAAAATGAGTTTGTTTTGAAAAATTGACAATTTAAATTTGTATTATTTATCATGTTTTAATATTTGTATTGTTTCTATTTATTTTTCATCTTTTATTGTCAGTAAAAGTTGAAAATTCATTTATTTTCCCTCGAGGCGTTTCCAGGGAAGAGCTACGAGTGGTCTTAGCAGAAAATAGTAGTTGGCCCAATACACGTCGTTTCATAACTAAGTTGGTGCCAAGCTGGGTTTTGGAGGTCAAATGCCAAATGGCAAGTCCTTGGTTTAGTAGAAGCCTTGTGGTGGAATTATGGGCTATTTGGTAGTTAGAGAAAGCCCTTTTTGGGGTTTGGTGGGCCGAAAGTCAAATGGCAAGCCCTTTTTTTGGGTTTGGAGGCCTGGAGGCCAAATGGCAAGCCCTTTTGGGGTTTGGGGGTCAAAGGTCAAATGGCAAGCCTTTTGGGGGGTTTGGGGGCTGGGGACCAAATGGCAAGCCCTTTTTTTTCGTTTGGGGGTCGGGGACCAAATGGCAAGCCCTTTTTGGGTTTGCGGCTTTGGGGTCCAAACGGCAAGCCCTTTTGGGGTCGGGAGGCTTGGGGTCGAATGGGAAGCCCTTTTGGGGTTTAGGGGTCCAAATAGAAGGCCCCTTTTGGGGTTTGGGGCCAAATGGGAAGCCTTTTTTGGGTTTGGGGTCCAAAAGCCAAATTTTATGTCATTTTTGGGGGGCGGGAAGGGCAGCAGAAAACCAGATCTGGTCCACAACACACCGTTTTATAACTACTCGTTTAAAATTCGTTTTCCAGCCCTCCCCAGTGACTTTCCCTGCAATAATCACTGTAAAATCCACATACAGTTCCGACGAGTGTTTCTGGGGTGCTTTCAGTTTCATTCTTCCAACAATTACAGGTACATGTAGAGTACACGTGATTGGGCAGCCCTATGAGCACGCCGCGCGAGGCTCACTGTATAAAATCCAGTAAGTAGTGAATCAAAATCTTTTTGGAGAGCCTCAAAATTTTAGTGACAAAATTTAGGTAACAATCAGCATTGGGCACCGTGAAGAGGGGTATCGTGAGTGACATGATGTGATTGATGGAACCTCCCTGTAATTTGTAGACTTATTTGATTTAAACTAAAGAATATACACCACACACACACACATGTAGAGACAAAACAAGAAAAGCAAAAAACCTTAACTCCATTATATTTGCTTACGGTTACACATTTACTATGCACAGTATAATGCAGTTTCTGTTACCAACAGAAATACACTGCACAAGAAGCATCATCTGAGCAGAAATGTTTATTCCGAATTCTTTCAAATTCATATCATACAAACTCCTACCCAAACATTTCTTCCTGTTACTTGTGGGGGTTTGCATTAAAGGATTAATATTTTCGTGCAAACACTTTTGAGGAGAACCTGTCCAAAAACAAAGGTCATTATAATATTAATATTCTTTTTTGGCTTCATCAATGTTGCATAACTTGAATATTAAGATATTAATTTAGGATTTGTGCCCTGCCTGACGTGTATTTTAACACTGTATACTCAGTATATACCCCCAAGGGCTTGTGAAGAAACAACAGGCGTACTTGGATGGGACTCGAACCCATAACCTCCTGCTTACTTGTGCAGACGTCTCAAACACTCGACCACCGAGATTGCCTGCCTGATTCAGCAAAAATCCAAAATTAATATACATCTCCCCGGCGCAAATCCATCCTTGAAATGATGTTAAGACATGTTTTCTGTTGCCATATTAATGAGGGCCATCTCCCTTTCCAGATGTGACAAAGAATAATTATGGTAACAATTTGCATCCAAATAATTTTTTTGTTCAAATGAAACACATAAAAGTTATAATGCACTTTGGGGCTACTATGATACCAGTACAAGACAAAATTGATGTGAGGTGGGTCAGGCCAAAATCTAGTATCTCTCGGTGTACGTAGCAGTGGATGAACATCACATTACAGTCATTTGCGAAAGTTTAGATCCACCCATAGAAAATGCATTGCCCTGAAGAAATACCAAACTTAAACCAATCACAAATGGCAAGTTATATTTATTTCCAATGTGTAACCTTAGTATCTTGATTAAAAAGCTATTTGACTCCATTTCTATAATTTGAAATGTTATCAGTCTAATATTTAGTGTGCCCTCCTTTATTTCGGATTACATGTAGTTACATGTAAGTAATCATTCAATGAGACAATGTAATGCAAGCCCAGTGTCAGAAATACCAACAGAATTCTAGGTGGTCCTTTGCAAATGGCTATATCGTCTGCTTAAACTTTGATCACTTTATTACCAGCTGATGTACTGTTTTCTTAATTCACAAAGACCAAAACTCTATCACTATTCTCAATAGTAAATCATGTACATAAGGAAAGTAAGTTCCTTCAGAACCATTTGTGTGTGTAATTCCTGTTTATCTTTTGATATGCATGATGAAACTACTGCAGTTTCAATAAACTGATTCAAAAATACATAGCTGCATGTGCCAGTAAATGCTTGATTTTCACAGGCAATTTGTATTTGTTAACATTTTAGGAACCAGTTTGAAAGCAAGTAGAAGAATTTTAAACAGGAACTGTGCACCACATTAGAATGATGTAACTAACTTGAATTTAAGAGCTTTCCTTGTCTTTACTCATAAACACAGAAATTCAACTCCCAAACAGCAACGAAAATGCATGTGCATGTACAGTAAATTCCAGCCCCAACATTCAGATTTGTGAAAGGCAGTATATTACAAGGAGACCTTCATTCAGAGACTACACAGTCAGATAAAAATCAGGCAGTTGGTACATGTATACATGTAAATCCAAACAAACCAACTGTATAATACCGCAAAATGACAGTATAAGAGCAAATACATAACAGACTGGTAGGTAACCACTTAATCTGAGTACTTAAATAAAAAGAACTATGTATAATGACGTCTGTCACTCTACTGCATGGTAAATGAGTATACTTTAAGTCTTGCGTATTTGTTAAGCCATCCTTTAATGTATCATTTAACCCTAAGTCCACTGATACTAGGATGCAACCTAATAAGCAAAGCACAAAGTCCCCTAACTGCCTCAATGAAAAACTGTATAGAACCCAAATCCTCCAAATTCTCTGTTATTTCTTGCAAATTTTCCACGGAGGGGTAAACACTGCCTTAATACTTCAAATGGCATTGAGGCAGTGTGGATGTTTTCAAGTACATGTATGTTCTGGGCGAGTGTTTACCCTTGGCTGAGAGTAAACAACACTGGGTTTTATCCCACATCTTTACACAATATATCCTTCGAAATCAGCCATCATGTATTTTTGCTACACAGCCTCAATTCTTCAAAATTCCCCACTTATGTAAGGAGGAATTGGAGGTTTTTGGAAGGCTAGGGGTAAAACGTTTCAACATTCAAACGAAAAAGCAAAGAGCTTACTAACGAGAAAGGCTTCAAAGCAACAATGCAGACAAATGGTAAAGAAAAATTTAGATTGCTCACCTAACTCAAAAATACATCAATCAAAAAACTTCAAAACATACTAAAACAATTACTCAATGAGCTTCTTTGATTTGAAGTAACGCCTGAGATAGAAGACTTGCCATGTTGCCAGACTAAGCAGGCAAACCATAGAAAAGATGCTGAAATACAGAACTCTTGAATTGGTGGATTCTGTTGAATAAAATGCACAAATTAAAGTGATTCTTGGTTGGTTATATGCAGCATGCATTAATTGCAACTCACTCTGAGTAAGTGGTCAAAATGTTACAAACACTGCTACATGTAACTGCCATTCATGAATACCTCCAACAGTGTCCCTATTCAACAATGTGCAATATGACCATGCATTCACGTTTGATAATACCCCCTGAGAAAATGATACGTGTAATGCCTGCTGCATAAATCACATGCTGGAACCTGGATATGAGAGAGTTTCATAGATTTTGATTGGTCAAGAGTCTATGTGCACACTGCTTGCCATGTGCGTGCCAAGTCCATATAAGGAGATTCTTTTGGACAACTTGCACAAGGAATATACATGTACTATGACATGGACAGCGATGTTTGGGAAAATGAAAGGAAAATTCTGAAACAAAAATGCTGGAAATCCTCGAGATATTGTTCTTTTGACTCTGAGTAAAAAGGTACTTATGGAGACCGAACGTTGATAATGCCCTGGCCTGTGGCTTGGGCATTGGTTGTGTCCATTCTCTTGAGCCAGTCTTAAACGTACGATTAAGACCAGCCAAGCACAATTTATCCCTTATTAGTATGGAAGAAATGAGACCTGGCAAAAATATTTGATATACCCAAATTTCAGAACAGAGTACAGACTTCCCCATTCACTTGTGCACGCAGTTTTTCCTTGTGTGTTGCCTGTCATGTACATGTACAGTACAGTACAGTACAGCACATGCTACATTGTAAACTGTGCTGGTGCCATGCAAGCCACGCTGCTCATGAACGAAATGCATAGGCATAACTGGTTCCCTACTCTGGCTATCTGAAGTAAAAACAAGCTGTCTAGGAACCAATGAAGTCAGCTCCTCATAGACTCAACTTCAGCATACACGTATGTGTATTTTAAAGGATAATGTGCCCCACTGTACACGTATGTGTAAATCAAATCGTTGTTTCAAGCACAAGCCCTGTGCATGTTGCATCGCACAAAGAGTGACTTATTGTTGAAAGTGCACAGCATTTGGTCAATATTGTGTTGCAAAACATGATGTGACACAGGGGAGATCAAACACTGCATATATGTTGATGTGAGTTCTAAAAAATTAATTTACTCTTACCATTTGTATCTCTCATCTCTTCCTCCCTGGCTTTCATATAGGCAAAGTCATTGACTATGGCTTCTGACAGATCTTCCAGGCGCCGAAGCTCAACTTCCATCGGTTTCAAAGCTTCAGATTTAGCAATCTGCATAAATTGCACGTGTAACAAGAGCAAAATGAGCAATACCTGTAAGAAATTTGTAATGCAAGAAAATGAAACATTCCTTTCAGAGAAATGGTAATGCACAAACTTGCAAGTACCAAGAATTACGGTAAATGCAAATTCACAATGATCTTTGTGGAAAATCACAGTCATTGTGGTATCATCATGTGCATGCACACAATGGATATTACGAAAGATTGCTCACAAGCTCAAGATGTTTATTAACATGTACACCTTCAATGAGTTCACATTTATTAATGAAACACACTCCCCATTTTACTGGGTACGTTGTTGTATTGAAAAACAAATTTTACTTTGATCAATGTACATGCACTTACATCTTCATAGCTCTTAGCTTCAACACCACGTTTCACATTGAGATACACTTCACGATCGGCTCCTCTCATTCCTGAACGTACAGTTAATGGAAAGGAAAAAGTATACAAACAAATGCAAATGAAAATGTAATAAAGTTTTTTGAACAACCTTACCTCAAAAAACAGGTTAATCACTTTCTTTTTTTTTTGTTAAGAACTTTGTACATGGAATGTCAATTGGCAGTTTTGGCAAAGTACTGTAGGATTTGGGGCTGTTCCTCCTGAAAAGAAACCTTCATTATACTTAAGAGGCTTTGGATAATTACATTGTAAGCAGAAGAATCTAAAAGAATAATTAATGTTGCAACCCTGAATATGAAACATAAATCTTTTCATTAAACCTACATGTACCAGACTAGTAGTCCTGAATCCTCAAATTTCAAAATAATTTCCCCACATCTCCATAAGTAAGGGTTGAAAATTTGTGCCTTTTTGTTGTTTTTTTGCTATCCTTTTATCCTCTCATCTGTTTTATCGCAAGTGTTTTTCATTAGCTTGTTTTTAGGCTTCTATAAAGAAACTACAGTCTCATGGAAAGACATCTGTACAACTGGTGAGATTTACAACACACTGCACCACAATGTTGGCACTGAGGGCCATTTGCAAATTTACAGTGGACAAAAGTATTTGTTGCCTTTTCATGATTTTTCATTTGAACACGTCAGAAAACACATTGGGAAACTTTTGGTAGATTGGGGCATTCCCTGCAAAAGAAAGAACAAACGATTAATTACATGTAACACTGCTTCCTGGAATAAACTCCTCCCCCACATGGGGTGGGTCAGGTCTCCTAGTGATACTTACCCCATGTGCCTATTACATTTCGCTGAAAAGACTTGATTATGCATACTGTCCCTTGACCCTCCACAATGCACAGCGGTCCCACTGCCATGTTCGTCCTTCTTTTTAAAGCGGTGAAAAGCACTGGAACTGAAGTGGGGAAGGACGGGTGGGAGTGGCTGGGCAGGGGTAAGTATCACTTGGAGACCCAACCCAATCCATGTGCTGGAGGAGTCTCCTGCATTCATATACAAGAGTGGCACCAAACCCCAGAGGTGGGTCGGCGACGGGAGTGTAGTCACTAAAAGGAAAATAACGCAGGTGTCACGAAAGCAAGCACTCATCAGGAGAACCTCCTAAGTCAAAGTATCCACTGCTCGGCCCGGAACAGTGTTGGACATTGTCCGGAACGCCGAGCACAGGGTCACTCTGCCATGGGCTGTTTCGCTCTGCAGAACATCTTTCAGGTAGCACTCAGTGAGGGTGAAGGGAGATTTTCAGCAGCCGCCTGGCAGATTTCACCTACAGGGACTCCTCTGAAGTACGACCAGGATGCAGAGGTGGGCCAAACATCATGAGCCATGACTTGAGATCAGGTCGTCTCATCATGTTGTGCCGGCCAGTCTTGGTTAGCAAAGATAATGGCTGAGACGCTCCATCGGGCAATAGTGTCCTTTGATGCTGGGTGACAGGGCTTCGTCGTGGTGACAAAGAGCAGGGATTTAGATTCTTGGTGATGCTTGGTCCTGGCAGGATACCATTTAAGAGTCTGAGCCGAATACCATTTTCTTTTGAGAGTCATCTCCCAAAAGAGATGTCAGGAACGAATATGTTGGGGGGCCAGAAGGTAGGTGTCTAGTTGGGATGAGACGAACCTCGTGTGGCTCCCAGTGGATGTGACCATTGGCAATCGACAGGGTATGAAGCTGGCTAAATCATCTCAATGTAACGACAGCAAAGAGGAACACCAGTTTGATGCTGAGATGGAGGTCAGACACATCAGACAGCGGTTCGAAGGGGGGCCAGCAAGAACGCAGAGGAAGCTTCCAAGGTCCCAGGATAAAACAAGGCGTTTGACAAAGGGACGCTCGACAAACATTCCTTGAAGGAAATGGTGGATGGCAGCGTTGTCACAGACAGCCAATCCATTGCTGAAGCCCAGGTGAATAGTCGCAAAGGCCGACCAATAGTTGCAGATGGTGGCACTCTGAAGACCCGAGTGGAACAGATACATGAGGAAGTCTGCGACGGAACTCAAAGGAGCTTAAGTTGGATAAACATTGTGGTCATTGCACCATCTAGTAAAATGTAGGTGGCTGATGTAAATCTTGGGAGTGGACCGCCGTCGACCCCAGGCCAAAAGAGATGCATCTGTAGAAGAACCTGACGCCCTGACAGATCATTGGACAACGTCCAGCGAGTCAAGTGAAGACTCTCCAGCGGTGGGTGGAGGATCCCTGACTTGGGCCAACGGAGGATGCCCTCTCTGACCGGAAGGACCAGCAGCCATCATACCAGGAGTCTCTTCAGTCTTTGAAACCACAGTTGGCGAGGCTAGAATGGGGCGACAAGGAGAATCTGAAATAGCTCCATTCTATCTTGGAAAGGATCCCCAGGATGAGGCAGACTGGAGGGAGGGTGCACGCCAGAGGGCCCAACCGGTCGATCTGTAGGGTGGCTGTTGCCCATGCCCACGGGTGAAGCAACCTGGAGCAGAACATGGTCGAATTGGAGAGAAGAGGACAAATTGAGGATGCTCATCTCTGCAAAAGTCTGGCTGGCAACATTCTGATGAAGGAACCTGGAGCAGAACATGGTCGAATTGGAGAGAAGTGGTCAAATTGAGGATGCTCATCTCTGCAAAAATCTGGCTGACAACATTCAGATGAAGGAACCTTGGAGCAGAACATGGTCGAATTGGAGAGAAGTGGTCAAATTGAGGATGTTCTTCTCTGCAAAAGTCTGGCTGACAACATTCCGATGAAGGAACCTGGAGCAGAACATTGTCGAATTGGAGAGAAGTGGTCAAATTGAGGATGCTCATCTCTGCAAAAATCTGGCTCACAACATTTGGATGAAGACTCCATTCTGTCCGTCAGACAGTGCTCGAGAGAGTGCGTCTGCTGTGCTGTTGCTGGTTTTTGCTATGCGGACAGCTTGAAGGCAGATCCCCTGATCGATCGTCCACATAAAGAGATGCCACTAGGGCACAGGAGTTGAGCAGGGTGAATACCACACTGACAATTGATGTACACCACATGTCGTTGAGGTGTCACTCTGGACTTGAGCAGAACAACCTACTAAGGGGGCGTACCAGCAAGGCCTTACTTCCTGGGGGAAGCCCGCTGGAATCTACGAATTTTTTTAACAAAAGAGCACTTGACAAAGATGACTGTACGCTGCAAGAAAGGTGTATGTTAATCTGCAAATATGAATACTCTTTTATTCATGAGAGGGGCCATGCATGTGAGTGTGAACGTACATGTACACACTGTGATAGAGTCTTCTTTATTTGTCAGAAATTTTATTTTACAAATCAGTGTTTAATTTTGTGTTGTGTGATTCCAAACTGTTGGAAGGCTAATGGGGTGTTCGGTTTAATTCATTCACCCAATAGGCATCGTTTATTGTTTTCTGTATTTGAATTTTTAATGTATAAACATTTGTGACATTAAAAAGTTGTTTGATATAGTAGTGATTACTTTCTGTGCAAATGAATATTGAATATTTTATTCATGAAAAAAATCATATGGGAAACTGAATAGGTGCTTATGAATGATTATGAAGATAAACAAAGAAGTTAACTGGAGCAGGATTTGAACCTGCAGTCTCTGGAATACCATACCAGTTCTCTACCAACTGAGCTACCAAGCCCTATGTTGGTGGCTCTTCCCATTTGTCAATACAGTCGACTCCCATTATTACGCGTCGTTAAAACCAAAGTGCAATTTTTCACACTCATTTTGCACAAGTTTATGGCCACGTACATGTCTGTTGTAATCATGTACAGGTACACCGATACCACATGCCAAACACATACAAGACAATGTTATGTGTCTCTTATTGATGCTGAATTTTTATCTAATGTTGATGAATAAATTGATATAAAGTACATTTAGAAGTCAAATATTTGACAACCTGGATCAGAAGAAACCGAGAATAGCCGAGTGAGAAGAAACATTCAAGTCCGTGCCGGTGAGTTGGCTTTCGTCATGAATTGGCTAAAGCAGTCAAAAGAGGGCGCCACTATTACCAGTATGTCTGGGGGTTTGTTGAGATGTAGATGAGATTATTTTTCTAGTTGAATTTTTCTTTTATACATGCAAATAATAGCTTCAGATAATGTTGATGATTTTTGGAGGGCATATTTTCCTGCACCTGTTTTAAGGGGGATATATTTAACATTAGATTTACATTTAATGAAATAGGACAAGAGAGGGCGCAATGTCATTGATTAAAGATCGGTGAGATGAAACAACATTATGTTGAAGTTCTTACAAAGGTTCATTGATAAGGCATTGACAGACTGGAAAAACGTACATGTATGATGCCCGAATGGGGACAAAAATTTTGTCGTTGACAGCTGCAGATAATACAGTTTAGAAAAAAGTCGCTGTAAATGGGTTGAGAACAATACTTTTGCTCGAATGGGGTCGGCACAAATCGTCGTTGCAGGCGGAGTCTCGCAATATCTGTGCACATAATAACCAAACATTTCTTGATAGCAATGAACACAACTTGTTCGGGACTGGGAGAATATGCTCGTTGCATCCAGGTTATCGTTATGATCAAGCTCGTGATAATGGGAGTCGACTATATCTCTGTTCAGGGGCGCTAGCCAGAAGCCATTAAACCTGAAACACCATGTAGCCAGGGATCACACCCCAATTACGCTCGATACAACCTGGGCAGTGGTGAACAGGGATCATTCAAAGACAATATGGCTTCTTGAACATAAATCATGAAACAAATCACATAGGGAAACTGACTAGGTGATTATGAATGATTAGAAGATGAACAAAGAAGTTGACTGGAGCGGGCTTTGAATCTTTATGAATCTTTAAAATCATTTCATTAGCATTCATGTGATCTACTCACATGCTCAATATGGGCACAATTTTGTGCCAAAGGTTTTGTACACGGGAAGTTATTTTACTTCATATTGCATTCGCGTGAAGTACAACTCAAAATTTACGTAAAGGTAAAATAATGGACCATAGTACAGGTTCCTTTAATACAGGCTCACACCGATAATGATGCCATAAAGCATTTGCTGCTATAAAAATTGCCAGATGGAGATCCTCATACGGGGGATTCGGGTCAGGAGCAGTCAGCGGGGGAGTGGAGACTGACTTGAGGTGGCTAACTATCCGGTTCGTAACGTTAGTGACTTCATCACCAAGGAAGATGTGTCACAATTTACAGGCTCCCATTGGACGATCGCTGAAGTTGTGTGTTAACTTCCGGTTCCATGGTTCCAGTAAACAACGTCAATACACGTAACTCTGTGAGCAGTTCATGTGCAGTGGGCGTGGTTTAAACTGAAGTGAAGTCACACTTACGAACCAGATAGTGGACAGCATCTCTGGGGGAGCGGACTGCTCAAAATAAATGAAGAAATACATGTATCTTGCTTAGGTGTAGAGCAACATTTTTTAAATTGAACCCCGCAGAAGACGATTAGTGTTTACACTTCTTATGTGCAGGTGATCTGGCTGTAGAACCTGAAGGAAGAACCTGAAACCCTGCGGCATCAGCAGCATGTCCAGAATGCAGGGTGTGATTGAAGTGGGCTGTGCCACCGGGGACCTGTGATAGAAGCAACCTGGTCGGATAGCCCCAGCTGGTAGCCAGAAGCCATGGCGGTGAATGGCGTTCGAAAACCATGGCGATGGTTCTGTAATCTGAAGCGGTCTGTAGCAGTCGTTGAATAGCCCGCATAGTTCGGTGCCACCTCTGAATGGGCTGCCCCCGGGAACAATGGGGTGTCAGTCTGAGGCATTGTAACGTCCAAGTCACATCTGAGTGAACCGCTTTGGAATTCATCTGATGGCTGTACTTCATGGCATGTGGTGGTCATTGTAGCTGGCCCGGGAGACGGGGCGCCATCCCAGTGTGTAGCCTGGTGAACCATATCGATGAATAGACGTCTTCCTCAATAGACACTGGTAGTACGGAGACTGCCAAAGGACTTCAGAGCACGGGACCTGGGGGTGGGGGGGTGGGAGGGTTGAAAGTTAGCCGCCCAGACCCGGTAGCGGGAGAGTAGGCTTAATCTCCTCAAGTACAGCGCCACTCTGCACTGATGTTGACTGCGAGGTGATATGAAGGTGACGGGGATCTGAGCATTAGCCCAACGCTTGAAAAGTGGCATAGCTAACCTTAACTGAGCAGGGACTAGTCCTGTCAGCGCAATGCGAGGCTGTGCGCTGTGCTGTAGACTCACCCGTGGTAGAACCTGCTGTGGAGCCTGTTGCCCACTCAGAGGGGGTAGACTGGCCCGATTTCTGACCGGAAGAAGCACGGCGAGCAGAAGCCGGTAAGGGGCCTGGCAGAGGGCGGGCTGTTGCCCTGCGAGCCCCGCTAGACCATCAGTACACAAGGTCGCTCAGGGATGTGGTAGGTTACGACACTCGGCATCTGCCGCATAAAGAAAGAGGAACAGCTTGCTATGTTCTGGTCAACAATGATCAAGAGGCGTGTTGTGGCACGGCACGCTCAACCCGATCCGTAGATTATGCAGAGTGGACGCCAGTTATCAAGGGCAGTGTTGCAGTACAGCACACTCAACCCTATCAGTAGGTATACGGAGTGGCCGTCAGAGATCAAGGGTATCGTTGCAGCAGAGCACGCTCAACATGATCTGTAGATATGTGGAGTGGGCGTCGAAGTCCAAAGGTAGTATCCCGGCACAGTACGCTCCGCCCGGTCAGTAGGTGTATGGATCAGTCATCAGTGATCAAAGGTAGTGTTGTGGCATAGCATGTTCAACCCCAGCCTATTCACTCCACTGGGTCTCTCTCCATCACGGCCGTTAATCTCGGATAATGGAAAACTGCACCACAAAGGAGCAGGGCAACCTGCCAAACCCCACTCCACTGCCAGATCCATACAGCGTTGGGCCATTATTATTCAAACGCACGAGTCACATCAAACTCTCACAAGTTTTTCCGTGTGTTCCTATAAAACCCTGACGAGGAGGTAGTGTGTGATCCTGTTCCGAGAACAGTGTTCTTGAGTCGCGTTCCTGCGGTTCGAGTTCGAAAACAATAAGCATGTGTCAAGAACAGGCCGCCCAAACTCGACCTTGGGTATATTTGCAATCGAACGGAATGGAAAATTTAGCCTGATTTCTCTTTCGTTCTGCTAGTAATTCTCGGTCGAAGTTGAGGACTGCTCATGCATTATGCTGGACAATTGTGTGTACAAACCCTATGCTGTGCAACGATGCCATCTATGGTTCAATATAGGACAGTTTGTTGAAAATTGAAACCCCAGGCAGGTGTAACCATAATTCTGCAATAGCGTCCTCATAGCCTGATATAGGACAGTCCGAAAACTGTGTGCAATCTGTGTACAAAGTCTATGGGAAAAACTAATTATTCAAAAATCAATAATAAAAAAACTAATTAAGTTATCACTGTGAATTTCTTCTAAGACCATCCTTGGATGATTGTCCCAAGGTCTGCCAAGTTTGAAGTCGATCAGATTTAGTAAACTGCCAAAGTCGACTGATGGAAAGAATTAAGTTGGGAAAAAAAATTAAAAATCAGAAAAGCATGGGCTGTTCCGGCTGTTGCCAAAACAGCTAAAAAGCAGAACAAACGAAAAAGCCAAAAACAAGATATGAAAATAAGCACTCTTACCAATAGATAAGAAATCACTCTATTTGTAAACAGCGATCAACTCAATTCACAAATGCGCAAGGTTACGGAACTTGAAATTCTGAAAATGCCATAAAGACACACGTCAGTAAACAGGCGCTGAGAAAAGAAGGATGAACACGGCTGTGGAATCACAGTGCATTTTGGAGGGTCAAGGGGCAGAATGCATAATCAAGTCTTTTGGGCAGGGGTATGTGAACACAGGAGACTTATAAATTTTCTTCCCTGACAACTAAACATCAGGGCATGACATAAGTTCCCAGTAAGTACCTTGCGAATAGAATTTGTTGGAAGTTTCCCACAATGCATTGCATACCAATTTGTGTCCCCAAAACTCCACCTCATCATACAAAGCCTATTACCCGACACACAGTCACACACGCATCCAAAGACAAAACAAACCCCCAATGACCCTTCCGCTTTACAAAAGCACAGGGACATGAAAATGAACAAATTTGAATGTTCATATGATAAGTATTTCTCAAGTTATAGTACTGACAAGATTTCCACTTGGTTAAGCGGTGAGTTGCGATCTTGACCTTTGACTTTCCACCCCAAATGCAATAAGCTCCTTAATATTTAGTAAGGGTAGTCCACAAACCAAATTTGAACTCCTGTTATTGCACTGACAAAATTTCTTTTGTGACCTTCATTGGAAAGTGTGGTCGTTTACATAATACTACAGAGGCATGTGCGTCATGACTATTTTACACAAAAAATGTTGATAACAGATTGATAATGGATGATACCTGAACATGTACACGTAAGTATGATGATGGAAATAAAATGTTTCAATCTTACATGTACATGTAAGCATAAGCACATGGTGAGGGGCAGGGATAATAAAGGTGGTTGAAACAAAAGGTATTTTACTTACACATGTCTGTAAACACATGTCTGTAGGTCAGCACAAACACACAAAAATATCAAGACCCCATTCTTATCACTTACCAGCAGGCAGCTTTGTTGAGAAACAAATCTCAAAGGTATCATAGTCATCCGAGGTGAAAGCAAACTTGCCTTCTGAGGCATCATCCTTTGTATACAGAATGTGGCCTTTACTATCACTGACCTACAAAGATAAAAGTAGAAGAGCGAAATGAGCTTTTTCTAATGAGAACGTGGCTGCACAGGACTAGCAAACTTGACTCAGATGGCATTTTGGCCTTTAAAAAAAGGCAAGCACCAAGGCAAATGAGAGCATTTGATGTCCATTCATGGACAAAAACGAAAGATTAACATAAAGTTGCAGTATCTCATACAGAAAAAATGCATGATGTACATGTAATTTAATGTTGCAAAATCAATGACTGTCCTACATGTACATACATGTACCAGGATGTATGATGGAAGAGTATGCTGCTCAAGGGAGCAGGGACATGTAAACATGTCAATATGGACTAACCTTGTGGCAGCTTTGTCAAAAAGCAGATTTTACACACAGTGTATACATCAGTTGTAAAGGCAAATTGCCCAAACTGTGCATCCTCTTTCTGGTACAAGATATGACTTTTATCATCTTTGACCTGTTAATGTCACAGTGATACATGTACATTACAATATATGTCCTCAAACAACGAATATTCATAGACAGGATCCAGCCTGAAACATACTGTACATGTCCAGATGTTCAATGTACAAGTACATGTACATGTACCTGTAATGTACAGTGTACTGTACATGTACATGTACTGTACATACACAGGGCTAGCAAACTTGACTCAGATGCCATTTTGGCCTTTAAAAAAGGCAAGCACCTATGCAAATGAGAGCATCTGATGTCCATTCGTGGACAAAAATGTACTGTACATACACGCACACAGGCAGAGAAAGGTTTCAACAGATCTTTTTTTATCAACAAAATTCAAAATACTGAATCAAAATAGGGTTGGAAAATTAATTTTTCATGGTAACACACACACATGTACATGCTATGTGGCTTTTGCACTGAATTTGTTAAATCTCTGCAGAGATCAGTAAAAATGAGGGACACTCCTCAGAAGAAACAAGTACACATACCAGAACATGTACATGTATGAATGGATTATTTTAGAAGCCAACTTTGGAGGTTGGGCTAATCAAAGGCCTACACGTAGTTAATACACTTACACCTGTATGTACATTTTTGAACAGCAAAACTGTTCTCAACCTGCTCCAGCACTTGAGTTCAAACTTTTTTGATTTTTGTACCAAAGTTACAGGTGTGCTATAATGACCATCTATGATGTATAAAAAAGAGACTTTCTATTTAATTTTTCCCCATGTATGGCCAGCTGAGTATGCATACATATGGGGTACATCTCCCATGCATACATATGCATATATCATATGGCTTTATGTTTCTTGATGTACATGTACACGATACAAAACAAAGTGAGACAATACTCTATTTCAGCATTTTTCAAACATTTTTCCATTGTCAAAACTTCCAAAACAACAAAACAAAATTTGAGCCAGCCAGCAAACTTCATGTTTCCCTCATGTGCCACCTGGCGATTTGGAATGCTGGCTGGCCTGATTACATACACATGTACATGTATTAGCAGTACTTGAAAAAATAGGGGAAAAAAGTTCCATTTCCAGATGTGCATGTACCGGTAACTTGACACCCTGTGCAAAACCCCATGAGACTGGACAGAAAAATTCCTTTAAAGTAAACGTGTATATTCTAAGTAAACTCTTTAATATTTTCCCAGCTAAAGTTGCAACTTTAGAACATTTTATCACTTTCCAGCGGGTGATATACATGTACCACACTAGGGAGAAACTAGTGATGTCCGTATATGTATGGAATTCTTTACCCAAACACAAATGAAGATATCAAAGTCTTGGACAGTCTGCCTATACTGTGCAGTAAAAACAAGTTTGTTGAAACTTCAAATATAAACTGAACCAAGAAATCTGAGCATGTATTAAGAGAATGTCTACACAAACACTTTTGCCTTTGCTTTTGAAATTTTCAAGCATTTTCCATAAATCTCTGTTCTTCACCATTTTTAACAAACAACTTAAGTTGTGTTCATACTTGTGAAAAGTACTAGTTATGACTCACGCCACTCACCGGTACATGTACTCCTGAAAATGCACTAGTAATTACTTGCACTTATGGAAACTAGCAGGAAATATTTTACTTTATAACACCTCACATGCAGATTCTGTTTCTTGATTGGCCGAAAGTGTGTCATGTGACGCTTGCTAGTTTTACTATTTTTATACCACCGCTTCAAAAAGACTATACCATGCAGCCTCATTCTGAAAAAGATACCCGTAGCAACCAAAGAACTATGGGCCTCGAGCTTGACCAAGAGAGAGCGCACTTCTCCTAGATACAGTTACTCTGCTTGTGGTACTCACTACGTTTCGCTGGTTAACGAAGGCGTTTCATCACTGATTTACTGCATGGTATACCAGGTAATGCAAAGAGACTGTTCCTGAAGGTTTTTTGCACGCAAGAGCTTCTGGTAACAGTGAGGCAGAAACTAGACTCTTGAATATTGAATTTGGGAGGAGCTAAAAACTTTTGACGATTGAATCAATGAGACAGAACGTATATAATCATGGCATGAGAAATATATTGCGGATTTTGTAAAATAAAATATGAAAACAACAAAGCAGAGGAACTGCGGAAGGGAAAGTCGCTATCCGAATTTAAACACGTTTTCAATGTCACAGAATTTGTGCAAGAGGGGAAAGCACAATAAAAGGCAGAGTGATACCACAGCACAGGATTTCAAACTGTCCTTATGAGGTTGTGTTGTCGGCAAGTCTTATCAGAGGCTGAAAGAAGCAGACGTGCATGCTTTCAGACTGGGTTTAATTTTATTTTGAGAAAAGGCAAGGTAAAAAATCCCAGGAATTAATTATTAAATATAACCTATCAATCAAAACTGTTGACAGATTAACACAACTTTTATTGTGTTACTTTTTGCTCTGTACATTTCCAAATGTTCCATATCTCAACTGTAACGAACATGGGCAAATTGGCTTTAAAAATTCACATGCTTACTACATGTATACACAAACTCAAGTAACAATATACATGTATGTCACAGGAGTTGAAGTATGCATTCTGTTTGTGTGGTCTCCCAAACAATTGGTCACTGTAAATGTGCCATTCAATCCTACTTTCATCCAGACATCAATTTCTAAGGTACAGAATTTCTACTTGGAATTTTTTTCTCCCTGAATTGTTGACAGGGGGTTCTCCTTAAGAGACAGTATCAATGTCAAGTACTTTTCAAGGTCTTTGTTAAATCTGCAGAAAATACACATATGTAAGCGATAATGCATTCATTTATTAGAATTGTAATGCTTCTCTTACTTTCTTCTTTTACACAACTTTCTGAACTGAAAAATACATATGGATAATGCAGAAATTAAAGGTGCATTTTTGATGTAATAACTGAGAATTTTAAACAGAAACAAATCTCCACTGAAAATAATGTTTGACAATGCTGATTAAAAATCTCATTGCATAAGAAACCACAGCAGGCAATTCTCTAGACTCATACCCCTTGTTTTTGTTGGAAGCAGTAAGAGGAGGAGAAACACACTCAGCTGCACCCCTGTCAGGTCATGGATGTTGTCTTTATATGTGCCATCCCACCTATGAAATCCACATGTGCACTTGATTTTTCCCGGCACGGTATCTGGTTCCACGCACTGGTCTTTTGTCTCTGTGTGTCCAATGCAGGGTTCTTTGTAGAAAGATGTCTAGGTACTAGCCTTGGTGCCAGTCATTAAACATACATGTAACATGTCTTATATTTGCTTATTTCCTTACTGTAGTAACTTCCTGTGTTCAGGGTGGGTTCGTTACGCTTCTTCTCATCCTCAAAATTGCAAGCACACATTCTGTTGGATTTACCTAGTTTCCATGGGGAGCTGTCATGCCTGTACATGTATTTCATAGAATAAAAACCAAATTAAGGGATAATTTTAGAAAGCATGTGAGAAATGACCAAATGCCTAATGTCAACTGAGTTTTTTAGTTGGATTGAAAATGTCAACAACTTGACAATTAAAGGTTGATCGACCGATCACGCAAAAATCGTACAATCATAAGTAGTGGCATCCATCAGAATTCAGAAACTGTCCCTACTGAAACTTACACGTATGTCCTAACGTCACTGCTGACCCGTCTTCACAAATCAAAACAAGGCTTTACAGTGCTTCAGTCAAATGCCTCAAGTCATACATCAAATGAAAGAGTATTTTAAGCTCTACAAAATGATGACATCATCATTCCAAACCCGGTTGAGTTTCACGAGATATTAAGTTTAGAAGAGACTATGTCACATGACAACAAAGATGGCCGCACAGTTTCTGACGCAGTGTAAATGGCTCTGATCTTACATTATTTTCATCACACTTTACACCCAAAACTCGACACAAAGACATAATAAATGGTACTGACAAAATTTTGGTTCTTTTACAACACAACTGCTTTTTAAAATATAGAATTTGATGCACAAAAAGGGCAGAAATCATTGATTAAAAACAAACACTTTTACACGCTTCCAGATATAAACTGTAGAGGTGCCATTTCGTTGGACTCCCTACCTAGGCCAACTGCACCTCCAAAACTTTGGGTCCGACGTTAGGACGGACTTCGGACCGCACAGTTCTGGGGGTAGGCTAGGCCTATGGAACTCTTACCGCTTAAATAATAATACTAAACAAAGCCTAGGCTGCTACTAACCTGCGATGACCCAACCTTCCGGACACGGTAACCCATAGTTTCAAAGGGAAACAGGTTTTGTGAGAACACCCATGAATGGTGCATTTTTGCATCGTTTGCCATGAACATGACGATGAGTCAGCCATTCTCTCACCTTCTACAAAGCTAAATGAAAGACCTTGGCTAGAAAGCCTAGAGCCTGAGAATGCACGCACGGACACTAACATTTTTGAAGAGTTCAAACTTAGTACACGTACTGTAAGCATGAAGGCAAGGCGGGTATGCGTGCTAATATCACAGTGCATTGCGTCAGTCAAGCATGCATGCACCAAACAAGATGGCAATCGATTGAGTACTGTGGACCACCTGGCTCTGTTCAACTGTTGAGGGGA